TCCGTTTTTTCCAATCATGCCCTTTCTACTTTTCAGCGTCTACTGTGACATGCGCATTAAAATCGCCCATCAGTATGAGGGACTCTATATTCGGCGCTTCGGACAGAGCACACTGCACTTCCTCAAGAAAAGTATAATGTTCTCTCTGTAAATTGGACGCATAGACCTGTACCAAGGTCAACGCATTAGCCTGTTGTAGTATCAGTCGAAGGATTGTCATCCTTCTGCTGATAGGCTTCAGTTCAATGCTTCTGTCAGCCAGGTTGCGTTCTACCAGAACACCAACACCGGTGCCTGAGCTCGCTTCGTGATATCGACACCTCGGTAGAACAACTTCCACCTACAGAGGTTCAGGATTCCGGAATCTTGGCGCTTCTTTGATAAGAGTTCAACATTATCGAGTTGGTACCTTGCGGCCTCATCGACTTGTTCCTGCTCTTTCCCTCTGATTGAAGATATGTTCCAGTTTCTGAATGTAAGCTCCCACTGGTGATGTTATTTTTGTGGAGCGTTTTCTGATGTGCTATAACGGCATCAGCCTGCCTGCCTCCTCTGTTGAAAGCGGGTGTCGGCTCAGTTACTGAATGGTTTGTTCTTCGTCGTTTCTTCGATCTTCGGCAGCCGTTGTCATGCTCCTACGCCCCCGTTTTCCGAAGGCGGTGAACAGGTTCTGATCGCCGACTTTTCTAACAATGCATCTGACCCCCAACTGCCTGGCGGCTCTTGGTAACCGTTCGACGTTGGAACCGATCTAACGTTCGATGACTGCAGTCCCCTGAGGGACAGGTGGCTAGGTTTTGCAGAGGTTTCGCCACGGGCACGCCACGCCTCCTCCTGTCTCATCCGGACTTTGGACCATCAACGGCAGAATGTAAGAAAATTGCCAATGACGGCAAACATGAGCCGCTGATTTGTCTGATTCGCAGCAAGTCCAACGAACCGTTTCTAAATCCAGATGGCCGGCTAAGGAAATGGGAACGACACTTTGAGGATTTGCTTAGAAGATGCGCTGCAGCGTATGACCTATGGATGGACGTCATAGATAGAGAAGAAATGGAAAAGGAATTCTCCGTTCGATCGAAAGATGAAATTCAAGATTTCTTACATCTCTGTCAAAGTTCTAATTAATGTGATCTCGACAGGATTAGTGCGATAATCCTGTAGCACCAATGCAAAACCGCACGGAGCTGGATCCTTCTGGTTTTTGACAGCATGTGGTCACAAATCTGTGAGAACTTCACGCAGGGCGTAATCATTCCCATATACATATGTGGAATTCTTTTTAATTGCGGTAACTACCGTGGGATTATGCTTCTGCCAATGCTGGAAATGGTATTCTTTCGAATTCTCCTGCGACTACTAAAGAACTCAGTTGACGATTCACTATGAAGAAATCATTTGGGGTTTCGAACCAACTTTGATGTACGAATAACATCACCTCACTAAACAACATTAGTAAATGGGGCAAAGCATTCAACTACCCTGACATGCGACATTCTTCTACTTTCGAGTTTCTTTTGACTCGGTACATCCTCAGTCTTGGTGGCTCATGCTACGCAAATTTGGAGCTCGATATGGTGGATTCCAAGGTGCGAATATATCAGGCCAGCTACTGAATAGAGCCATAAGGGCCATGACACTTGACCTCTTCGACGCGATTTATCGAGTGAATCCATTTATTAGTGTCTATTATATCAATCTCCTCATATGCCTAATCTACGGCAGCTTATCAGCTTTCAACTGATTAGCTCTAAGGTTAGTGAGGCAGGTAAATCGTACTACAATAGCAGATTTGATGCACCTGCTTTCCAACAGTTCGAGGCATGGAAATATTAGATAGACCACCTATATAGCACTCTGTTGATCGTGGAAATAGCAATATCGAATAAATGAGGTTCGCCACATTGAAAAATTTAAAGATGCTAAAAAACGTACCGCGGACACGTTCTCGCGATTGTTGCCCATTAACTGCAGCGCTTGTCCAAACCGAGCTTCAGAGAAGCTTCATTTCGAGTTCGTACGAATTTCTGGTGATTAGTCGGCACACTTTGACGAATTTCTTTTGCCAATCCGGTGTTATCGAGCTTGCGCCTGAACTGCGCCTCATTTACGGCGAACAACAAATGACCATCAAGAACGCTCGCAACAGTTCTTTGCCTGAAGATCATTCTGCGGATTCCAGTCAGAATCAAACATGATCACTGTAGCGGCCGCGGTCAAGTTTATGCCCAGACCTCCAGCACGGATGTACAGCAAAAATATGAACTTGTCCGAATCGGGTTTCGAAAACCGATCGATCGCTAATTGCTTTAGGTCGCAACTGACGCTTCCATCAATCTTCACGTATACCTACAATCCTCTAAGTGTACCTACAAATCATAAAGTAGGTACGAAGGAGGCGTCCGGCAAATGCAGCCGTACTTCCGGAGATAGAGATATTCATTCAGAATATCTAGACACTTGACCATTTGGGAAAAGATAAGAAACTTTTGGCCGGTGCTCCTTAATCGAGGCTCTGTAAAAGTATGAAAGTGCAAAGAGATGCTATTTATGCCTCTGGAGCCGAAAGGTCGTTGTTGGTTGCGTTTGGCATCAATAGTGGAGTGATCAAGGAGACACGGTTTCAATTCTATTATTTACCATTATTTTGGATTATACGATGCGGAGCAACGTCGTTCCCATCGACGATTAAGCTGAAGGTATCCAGCAGTACTCATGACGGAATTGGAGTATGTTGATGAAATGGTACTGCTCAGCAACTTTGCCAGCGTCTTACTGCCAATTGACATTGATTAAAGATTTGTACAAGCCGTCCTCGACGGTAGGTCTGAGAGTCAACCACACGAAAACGAAGATCATGTGAGTCCTCGATACGATTACCGACCGAAAGGATAAATGAGGGAGGTCGAAAATTTTAAATACTTGGGTGTGTGCTGGAAAGTAATGGGATAGAATCCTTGACGGAAATAGAGCAGCATTTAGAACTGATATCAGCGAACCCTGGCTGCCTTTTTAAACTGCGGCAAACACGTTCTATCTACCCAGCAACCAGGATTATTCTGAAGCCGCCGTTTTTCTGTTCTAATGTTCAGCCTCGAAAAATCCACCCTTTTGAAAGTCATGAAAAAAATGTTAGGCAGTTTCCGGCAACGCTGTCTGCAGAAAATTTTGAAAGTGCGATGCTTCCGTTGAAAGAAGAATCAATAGATCTTGGATATGACTGGCCCTAAGAGTATTTAATAATGAAGTCAGGAACCGTCGTCTTCCTTGTTTTGACCGAACCACCCACAGGGAGAGTGAATATCTATTTTTAGCCACTTTTTCTCTGGACGCAAAGGATCCCTGCAGACGCATCAGTGGTTATCACCGCACTCTAAGACAGGTGCTAAAGGCAGATTTACTTGCTACAAGAATATGACTTACGCCGCAGCATACAACGTCGTGCGAAGCATTCTGAAAAGCCATAAGCGTCAGACATCATTAATCTAGGTACCGTGTCTTTAACCCTGATACCTCAGATGACTATGGCAGACAGCAACATAATCGTTTTAGTACATTATTGGAAATCACTGTCTGCTTAGATAACAGAAACCGGAAAATGGTTTTCGTTCTGCCCTTAGGAAATAATATGAATGGTAGCCCGTGTTTTAGTCCTAATTTATGTGAATAGTGTCCTCTTTTTAGGAAAATTAACGTTATAAAGGTAAATAAGTCTTCCATTCCCTCATTACCATTGCCTCGTTAACCGATAGTTTTTGGGTTTATCACAAACTTTTGTGGTTTTCTTTGTGAATTCACTATGTTTCGCTTCCCAAGAATTCGTCTCTTCCTTTCCAGTTGTAATTCCTTCACCATGTAGATATGTCGTTGCAAGCTTGGATCTTCTGTCCTAAAAAGTTATGAAACTCGTTTCGACCGTTTCCGACAACGCTGTCTATGAAATACCTCCAGTATATCGTAATACCTACAGTCGGTTAATGAATGAACAGGCGCTGATAACCACCGGTATAAGAAGGGTTAAAAACTCGAGTGTTGTTTTTGTTAGATCAGGGAGGGAACGAAAGTCTGTTCAGAATTTTTCTCGTAAGAAAAATCCAGACCATATGCGTTGGAGGATAATGCAAAACTTGGTAACATTGTTTTGAGGCAGATCTACTTGTGACGGTGAATGGCCCAGCAGCAAATTTTGCTTAATATTGACCTGATGCGCTGTTGCTAACGCTACATTAATGTTCAAGCTTTTCTAACTTCATACGACGATAACATCAGCAAATGCCTTATTGTCTCCTTCACTGTGTGAACTTTTGTTGTTCTGCTGTGTGGGCGAATGTAGGCCTGGTAGTTGGAGATTTATATTTGTGTCATAGGAACTGTGTGCTAATCACAGACGCGTTGGAAGGCCATGCAAAATTCGGGCCTATCTCATTGAAGCAGAGCTGCTTACGACAAGGATTAATTGCCATCCCACAGCAACGCATGTTGCCGAACATAGATTCGAACAATTTCGAAGCGTTAGACGTTGGGCATATTTGATGTTCAAGATTTGTTATCGCTTAGATGACAGTGACAACAGAAAATTAGATTGTTTAAACTTTTCTATGCAAATCTGCTTAGAAGAAATCCTTGACCATGCATCTGCAAAGACCGATTAGTAGGCGATCGTCCATATCTGTTTCTGAAAACGATACAAGGAAATGTTTTCATTATAGAAGCCAAGTTTATATCCATGCATAATTTTAAATTCGTTTAGTATAATATTGTGCAGCAGTCGTTACGTCATTTGGGAATTCGTTGTTTTAGAAAATTTAAGCCAAAGGAGAGCAAGATCGTCATCGATTATTCAGAAGAATTTGAAAAGTAGAAAGAAGAATATGGAGTTTTTGCCTGAGATTTATTGAGATGTTTACTTATGTTGCGTTTTATATATACTTTGTGTCACTGTTTTACCGTTTCTTGTTTTAATCGTTTATTTACCATTTTAATAAAAGACTCAAACTAAACGTGACAAATACTAAAGTTTTTCTTACCCAAGTCATCTAACAGTTCATTTTATTCTTCCATTTAAAAAGGAAGGAAAGTGTACAGTCGTTTAAATATCTGTCTCTTTAATATCTCTTTGCGGGTGTTATTTGTTTAATTTTCCTTTCACAAGCTTGTAGTGAGCCACTGATCTCTGTTGTGTTGCCACTCCTTGGAAGAGTGCCTGATTTTGCATTCAAATTTTTGGCAGTTACAATGTCTCTTACTCTGTTTCCATCTTATGTAACATTTGTTTCTGGCAGAATGAAAGATGAGTGCGTCGTGGATGAAATTTTAACCCCTGGTGTTTGACGGCAAGTCGACCTTCTAACGACAGAACTACATTGACTATTTTATTGTTTTAGCTTCTAAATAATTCCTTTTACCGAGCGATTTATTAATTTTTATCATTACCATGACCTTTTGTATAAGTTGATTTATCTGGTTTCTAACATTTGCAACATTTTGACTTGAACACTTGTTAGTTTGTTAGTCATAGCATCTGAATTACGACGCTCTGTAATTTGTATTAGAATTAAAAGAGACGCAGAGCTGTCAGCCGATCGACACCTTGTTCGCATTCTTCGTTTCATGGATGGAGTAACATGTGAATATGTGGCTGCAAAAGCAGTCAGAAAGTCAAATGGAAAACAGTATCTTCTACGGCTATGAGGTCAGAACTTACTAACAACATCGCACGACATTGTGAACAGATCCCATGCTGATCCCTGAAGTGGAAAACGAATGGAGGCTCTTTCAGCTATGAGCTGCCGCAGAATGCTGCCGTTTACAATGGGCTGACCGACCGCCTGAATATCAGAAAGGAACTTCCTGGCGGACAAGAGAGATTCATTTGGCTGTCAGCGAGATGAAAGCGGCATTCAAGAAATGGCTTGAAAGCAAACCGCCTTTAGTTCGAATGCAATATCATGAGAAACACGGTGGCAGCGAAAGCAGTGGCTAAAGCGAAAGATGATTTCTGAGAATCTTCTTTGAGGTACTGGAGTTGATTTTCTAGACGGAACGCAAAGTATTCTCAGACCATCGGCCGCATTAGAAACGGAAGGTAGGGCAGTCTAAAGGTCGTGACGGAAAAGCCCGGATGCCCTCCTACCAAGGATGAGGACATACTTCGCGGTGGAGGGAATATTTTAAGGAATATGCGCAACCGCAGCAAGACTGGCTTGAACAGAAACAGGATATTGCTCTTTCAGTATACGAAATCACAGAAGCTGTTTTTAAAGTTTGAAAAGTTTTGAGGCTGCGAGAATCGATGAAATTCTCCCTGAAATGCTTAAAGTTATAGGCTAACAGGAGATGTGGCGAATACGTATCTGTCAAATTGCAACGGCAACGTGGAGGGCACGAATGGATTGGAGAATTGGAGACAGGAATTGTAGTAGCCCTCTTCAAGATGGGATTCCATAGGGAATGCTCCAACAATCAGTGCGTTACCTTATTGAGGCTCCCGGGAAAAGTCTATCTGATGGTGTTAGAAACTACGTGTCCAGGAATAACTGACTATGATACAGGAATGATAGTAAGATTTCAGATCTGACCGGAAAAGCTCTCACCGGGTCTTCGCCGTTTTAAAGATTGTTGAGAAATCACAGAAATGGGAGAATGCTACGACCTTTTCCCACGAACAAGCTGTTGGCATTCCGGCATGTGTAAGATCGATGACTAGTTGCTGCGAGTCATTTGGTCAGTATGTTTGTACCAGGTGTTGCATCAGAATAAATGGTGTTAACTCGATATTTTCAGTTCTTGCACTTGTCTTCTCCAGTCCTGCATTCTATCTCTGCTCCCATTTATGTTGTACATGAATAGAATGATCAGACGAGGCCTGGACGGCCAGTATATCTGCATAGAAAATGTGGGGACGAGAAAGTTGCTGTCGGCAAACGATCTTGTTTTATTGGCATTTTCTGTTACTGGTCCACAAGGTTCGCAACCGAGTGCGACATGGCCGAAATGCGTTTGAACGTATCTAAAACGAAAAGCCCTAACGCTTTTTCGTTCTCCTGCCCATTGCTCTCTTCAGATTAATGGAGAGGCAAGGGAGCAGGTGCAGAAGTTCAAGTACCTCGGAATTGTATTGGAGGAAGAGAACAATATTATCTAGAGATAGAAAATTGGAGGAGTAGATCGACCACCGAATTGAAGCAGCCAATGGCGTTTTAGCTTGAACTGGCTCGAATCATTTTGACTACAGCAGAGATCAGTCTGAAAACTAACCTCTCGGTATTCAAGTCGATCTTTATCCCCATACTTACCTACGGTCATGAATCGTGGACCATCACTGAAAACCTTCG